TACAATTTTAATGCATCAGTTTAAGAATCTTTTTTTTCTAAAGTCCATTTCTGAATACATAAAAAGCAGTTGTCTGCATTAGGAAGTAAGTATTTACCACCAACTATTACATAATGGTATCTGAGCACTCCATTTTCCCTTCTATATAGACTTGTTAAACATTCTGTAAGTGCGGTGTCTTTTGACAAATTCTGATTTTTTTTTTTTTTTTTTTTTTGCTGGAGAACACTGTGTTTCAATAATTGCAGACTTACATATGTGACCAAATATTTCAATTCTCTGTATGACAACATAGAGGACCAGACTTACAGAAAAGAGTAACATGAGGAATGTCACTTTACATATCATCCATTCCCGTCAGGATACACATTTTACATGTTATGATGAAAATTATCCCTTTTGATCTTCTGTTGTATTGATTCCCAAGCTGTGGTCTGTAGAGCAATTACTTGTGGTCCACCAAGAGCTGGCTGGTCTCAGTATGCTGACTTCTTCTTTGTCTCAAGCTCAAAAACATATAAGATGAGAAAGGGCAGTGAAATGAATAGAATAAACACATTTATTAATGTTAGTCCAAAAGGACAAAGCATTTATTACACTAAAGACAGCCAAAATACTTTCCTAATCTTTTTCCAGTCTCAGTGCAGAAGATGCCATGGGGATATTATGTATATGATTGTGTCTAGGATAGGAATTGTTTCGGATGATTGGAAATACACATGGAGGCTGACCACAAGACACACTCATGGTGATGTGGGTCAACAATCCCTGCTCTATTTCATGTTCGCTGTGCAACTAGAATAGATAGAAGAGGGGAAATTTGCCCTTAAGCTTAGGTTAGAATTAGCTGTAGACCTGGACAAATTTACTAGAAGAATGGTTTCAAGGCTCAGATTTTCCTCTACTTTGTATCTTCTGTTGACATTTTCCACCTGTGTGATTATGTGTAAAAAATTGTTATTCTGCTGTTCTTTTGTAATTGTGTACACAAGGTGCAATGCAGTAGGGCAAAGGATCCATATATATAATTTGTTTATGGAGAGACTAGAAACAGCAGAGGCAGACATTTAGATTTGTCTATATGCAGACAGATATTTTTAATGGAACCTGGTGAAATTAGGCACCTAATTTCCATGGGATTTTGATCAGGGTTGCCAACTAACAGTAAATTCATGGACAGCCAATTTTTAAAAAGACCTAAAATTGGACCTGCCCATAAAAATCTGTAAAAGCATTTAGATATCAGTAAAAAAGCACCAAGGTTTGCAGTGGAGCTGCAGAATCTCTTTCCCCCTTGGCCCAGGTGCGAGCTCCACATCGCAGCTCCAGAGAGTCTATATTTCTCAGGGCAGCGGCATAGGGGAAATCTCCAAGGCTACGTCTACACTATGAGTTTTGCCAGAAGAGGCAATGCAAATGAGCTGTGGATTAGCATTTTCTCATGCTTCATTTGCATAATCTCTTCCCATCCGTTTTTGCACTAGGGGTTTT